ATGCTCTTTGCAAGAATACCACGCTGACTTCTTTGAGTCTTTGGGATAATGATCTTGGTTCTGAAGGTGCAAAAGCATTAGCAATTGCACTTTGCAAAAATACCTCACTGACTTCTTTGAATTTTAGTGAAAATGAACTTGGGTTAAAAGAAGGAAAAGCATTTGCAATTGCGCTTCGCAAGAACACTACTTTGACTTCTTTGGATCTTAGTTATAATCATCTTGGATCTGAAGGTGCAAAAGCATTAGCAAGCGCACTTTATGAGAACACCACTCTGACATCTTTGAATATTATTGCAAATGATCTTGGATTAGAAGCAGAAAAAGCGTTAGCAAATACTCTTTGCAATAATATCACGCTGACTTCTTTATGTCTTAGCGAAAATGAATTTGGATCAGAAGGGGGAAAAGAATTAGCAAATGCACTTTGCAAAAACACCACGCTGGCTTTTTTGAGTCTTAGTTTTAATAATCTTGGGTCAGAAAGTGGAAAAGCATTAGCTAATGCACTTTGCATGAACAATACTTTGAAAGATCTGGATCTTGGTTTTAACAATCTTGGATCAGAAGGTGGGAAAGCATTAGCTGATGCACTTTACAAGAACAATTCCCTAACATGTTTGAATCTTGAAGGGAATAAGATTGGATCAGAAGGTGGAAAAGCATTAGCGAATGCACTTTGCGAGAACACCGCATTGACTGAATTGAATCTTGATGAGAATAATATTGAATCAGAAGGTGGAAAAGCATTCGCAGATGCTCTTTACAAGAACACTACACTAACTCAATTGAATCTTTGTGAGAATAATATTGGATCGGAAAGTGGAAAAGCATTAGCGGATGCACTTTGCGAGAACACCGCGTTGACTGAATTGAATCTTGGGAGTAATGAAATTGGATCAGAAGGTGCAAAAGCATTCGCAAATGCATTATACCAGAACACCACCCTGACTTCTTTGGATATTTATCAAAACAATATTGGATCTGAAGGAGGAAAAGCATTGGCGAATGCACTTGACAATAACATCACTCTAACTTCTTTGAATTTTTGGGATAATAATCTTGGATCAGAAGGAGATAAAGCGTTGGCAGATGCACTTTACAAGAACGCTAGATTGAATTTGTACTTTTGATTATAATTCTCTTGGATCAGAAGCAAAAGCTAGCAATGCACTAAGCAAGAACATTATTCTGAAAATTTTTTGAATCTTATTGATTATAATACTAATAAAAAGACGGCGTTTTTTAGGCTGATGCCATAATTAACCCTTAAATTTTAGCACTTTAATAAAATCGTAAAAAACTCATCTTGCTTTCTTCTATAGATTTTATCTTTATCGTAATTATAAAAAAAAAGATTCATACGAATCATTGAACTCTAGATAAGTTTAAACTATAAGGCCCACAGGTTTCTAAATCCAAGATTTATTATAATTTATGGCAATTTAATTTAAGAATTTCAGGCGAAACTAAAATATTTCGCCAAGTCCGATTCCGAAATCCAGGTGATGTTGGTTTCGCCCAGCATGCAAATTTTCGAAAATTCCGCAATTGTTCATAATTTCGAAAAATCCGAAAGAATACTAATGATTAATGATGAGTAGAATCGTTCAATTAGTGACGTAGTAGAACCGTCTTCGAGACTGTGCTAATAATTCATTACGAAACTTTAATCAATGACTTCATAACGTAACTTTTATTCAACTATAATATATTTAATAGTTATATGTAAATGGCATTATTATCGTAATGAAAGTGCCGTACTATTATAAATATGAAAATTTTTTAGAAAGTCGTTAATAACGTGTAAATCTAACATTTAAAAGAATTGTCTTTTATGGTAAAGAATTATCAAAACGCGACTCGAAAGATAGAGTAAATGAATCCACCTTAATGCCAGTCAATTAGAATTTACTAAACAGCAATTTGGCGATAAATATCTGATTTATTTAGATGAAACTAGAACATGATTATGAGGGCAGCGAAACTACCCGATTTTAATAATTACGTACGTACATAAATTAATGGTTTTCGTATTTCTAAATTAATTTATCTGGGAATCGTTACTTGATAGTAAATACTGTATTTATGACTTTGAATGATTTAAATACTCCGGTTTATAAGTTATATCGATATACATTAACAAGTAAATAGCCCTAAACTTATTTGAATTAGTTCAAATATCTTTGATACTTCAATTGCCTTATCTATTTAATTAGCGTGAACAAAATGAAATTGTACAATGATAAATATTCCCGAATAAAATATTTAATAAAAAAAAATTTTACCACATACGTATTTAGAACCATAAAAGTAATGGTAAATTACATCCAACTAGATTGTAGATCATCAAGTGATCACCATTTCTCTATTTATAGGCCATTCAGCTACGTATTTACATAACAATCACTGGCTTTTCTCGTTAATACAAAGTAACTCATGGCATCAAAAATGTTTATGGCCAATATGCCCGAATTAATGGAAAATATTCTCGATAATTTTAAATATGATTTTGGTTCCTTATACTCTTGCGCACTTGTAAGCCGACATTGGTGCAAAATATCAATTCCTATTCTTTGGCAAAATCCGTTTATATTTTGTAAAAATCCATTATTCATCTCTAGATATTTTTCGTCTCTTGGCGACTACGAAAAAATCGTTTTAAAAGAATGTGGAATCACAGAATTTTCAAAAACATTATTTAATTATGCAAGATTTTTAAAGGAATTCGATGCCTATTGTATAAGGAATGGGGTTGAGAAGTGGCTCGATTTCCAGTTTTGTTCGAGACCATACAACCATTCATTGATATATAAGATATTTAATTTATTATTTAAATTATTTATCGAGAGTGATGCCATTTTGTACCGATTCGACTTATATTTTTCTGAAATTGAAATTATGCCAGAGATCTTTTACTCATTAGGACGAAATGAACAATTTTTCTCTGAACTTCGAGAATTATCATTGGGTTTAGCATCTGACTTTGGCATGGAAAATGCTGCTACATTAATGAGAATTTTGGCAAAAAATACTAGGAAAATTAGATTTTTGAGAATTGACGAATTTTATTCCGATCATGAACCACAATTTTATCATGCACTTATATGCATTATTAATTCGCAAGAACAGATTAAGGATTTCATGTTATGCGGTGTTACGGAAATGCCTTCAGAATTCCATGGTATCATTTCGGCTTTAGAGAGTCAAAAACAATCATTACAAGAAGTTGCAATAGAATGGTGTGATTATAGTGCGGAGTTAAAGGTGCTAATGAAGTGTGAAAATTTAAAAATTCTTTGTATCAGTTTTTGCACCTCTAGACTGTTGAAAATGTTAGATTATAAACTCAGCACTTTAGAGATAATTAATGATCAGATTGATGCGTCGAACATAGTGTTAATTTTAGAAAAATCTGGCACATTACTACAAAAATTAAAACTCGAAACGGATGAAGAATTTGTACAAATTCGGGAAGAATCATTATTATTAGAAGCTATTAAGTCCTTCTGTCCAAATATTACATATCTCAGTATTTCGTGTATTGAGTTTTCCACAAAACTCCTAGAGCTTATTGGTAATTTACAAAAACTTCAATTTCTCACGCTATGGCATTTATGGTATATTGATGACATACCAGAAGAACGAGTCATACAGTTTGCAGAAGCATTACCATTAACATTGCAATATCTTGACTTAAGAGAATCTTTAAATTCATATATTGATGTTTTGCTCAATCATTGCAATGCACCTTTAAAAAAACTGTTAATTGATAATGAACTTGGTAATAAGAAAAATGCTAAAGCACTAATAGAGTTCTGCATACGAAAAAGAACTTTAAAATATGTAGGCATACCCGCCAAACCAAAGTTGGATGATAATATGAAATATGGAGTGGAAGAATATGTTACATTGTCACCATATTATCATATTTCTGTATAATTCCTATAATTTTTTTTTTTATTAATTTTTCTATTCCTATCATTTTGAATTTATAAATAAAGCATCAATATAATAGAATTTTTTGAAAATTAATGATAAACATTGAAGAGGAAGCTTATAAAATACTGATATCAAGTAAATAAGTTTTTTGTCATCTCAATGTCGACCTAGATTTTATTGCAATTAAATTTTATTATCAATATCAATGTCTAAGATACCCATATAAAAAAGAGGGATGAAATTTTTTCCCCTATAATTACAAGGAAATTTTATACGCGCTTGGTAAAGTTGACACGATCTAACAGTACATGTATCATCACACATATATGGAAAATGGTGCGGTTAAAATTTTTGAAAATTTTTACTTATTTATTTCGCAATTATTATAAAAGTTAAATTAAATTGACTCACTATCAGTAGTTAAAACCTTTTCAAATTTTATGGTAGTTTAAAATTGCGTCGTAATGTATTTAAGTTTAATACATAGCTTAATTAAATGCTTGAATTAATGAGATTCTTTATGTATTAAATTAACACAAATCAAATAAAGTCAAACAGTAAATACTCATGAGATTTTGCTTATTAGAATAACAAAAGGTTTATATGCACCACCAAATTAACACAAATAAATGAAATTTAATAGTGTTTGTTAAGTTATATATATTAGATTAATAAATGTCCTTTATATTACACTAAATTAATACGAATAAAATGAAATTAAGCAGTAAATATTCATGGTTTGTTTTAATACTTAAATCAGCAAATGCCTTTTATACTCATGTACTAAATTAATGCGAATAAAATAGAACTAAATAGTAAGTATTCATGAAGTTAACTTATTTTAGTTGCCTGAATAAATAAATGTTCTTTATACAGCCAGACCTCGATATAATTACCGGGTTGTTAACAAAAATTCAATGTGACTAAGGTGATAGTGCCTTATTTTCTTATACTTTATAATAATTGGCAAAACGAAAATAGAATTTTTTTATAATTTGTGACTATATCAAGAGTGACATATCGAGGCCTGACTGTATCACACACTAAAAATGCTTAGATTAACAAAAGTTCTTAACTAAACCAACGCGACCAAATGGAATGAAATAGTAATACTGAAATATTAGGTGCCTGATTTCGAATAAAATTAGTGACATATTTGTTTCAAAATAAGCGATTGATAAATTCTATTTTTTTTATAATAATAAATCATTTAAAAAAATATCCTTATTTCATTGTCTTATTTCGTAATTATAAAACAGAAATAAAAGTTTTCATACAAAAGGCGTATTACTATGCTAATTTTATTATTTGATCAGAAGCACTTAACGATAGTCTTTCACAGCATAATGCACAAACCGTATAAAATAGAATTTATGTGAACAAAATAACTCAAAAATAGACGATACAAGTAGAACTGTGAGTAAAAACATGATATAGCTTGTACACATTGCAAGATGTACGTACAAATATAGAAAAATAGTCATAATAAAATTACTCTAAATGAACACAAAAATTATTAAATGATTACATTATTTAAGATTCTCAGTTTTCGTTTTACTTGGTCCATATAACATTTAATCGAATTTGAAATTCTGATAGAACTCTCCTCTAATTCTTCAATAGACATTTTTTTCTAGTTTTCATTGGATAGTACATGAGGAAGGGTTATCTAATCAGATGCCCAGAATTGTACACACCACATTTCTCGCCATTACTGCATTAAACCATACTGTGAGTACTTTTTACTCCCTTTCTGGTAAATATGGGTACATATTACCTAATCATATGATGCATGTAAAAATGAATATCCAATCAAAAGCATGAATTTGTACAGAAATACTTACCGTATTTACGCGAAATAACGCGCAGGGGCGTTATTTAGAATAATGGCCCGAATTAAGTTTAATTTAGGCCAAAATTTGTAATTTCACCCCTGCGTGTTATTTCACGTAAATATGGTAACACGCTATTAAACATACTCTACGTACTTCGTACTCCGTTGGGTACAAGTATATACGCACATTTTTGGTGTCAGAATTTTGTAACATAATTCGTTGTTGTTTATTTTGAGATCGATATATCTCTTATGCTTCAATTGTGCGATGCTTCTCAATACTCATTCCAGCTTGAACGTCAACGTTAGCATCGCTTAATTTATGAGTTGTATACAGTGTTCTGCTTTTCTCCATAAGTAAATCGAAAATTTCTTTCATTTGTAATTTCTTTTTTCCATGTATGTCATTTGCTATTGCAAATATAAAAGTTGCACTTCGATATGCCCAAAAGATTGCTTGCATAAATGAACCATCTTGATCATACTCATCGTTATATACAGATTTAGTTGCTATACCTGAATGATCAACAATATGTAGACCTGGTACATCACGTACGTTGAATTGTACAATAACACTTGTTGATATCATTGTTTTTTTTTATCCTTCAGTAGTGCAGTCATTGAGGTGAGAGAACAAGTCACTTTCATAAACCCAGATAGTTATCACGGTTCAAATGTTTATCATTATCTAGATTTAAAAAGTTTTTAAAAATTAAAAATTTAAAATTATGTTATATCTAAAAATAGTTATTAAGCGGATGAAGAAAAATTTTCTCACCTGCATCAATTAGCTGTAAAAATAAATGTCAGCAATTGGTTTAAATTTACCCGGTTCATCAGATGATATAATTTGGTTTGATCTTGGGCTTCCTCATGAGCACGCCAATAATGGAAGTATCCACCTTGATGTGGTTTTCATGAGCAATAAATAAATCATATCCTCCATCTTCACGTGTTATTAAATCTTTTAGCTTCAGTTTATGATAAGTGCTTCACATCTTGCTGTAATACATTCGATCAAAGTGATAGCAGATAAAATTCACAATCTGATTGTTTTGAACTTCATAATGCAGCAATTAGATAAATTACTGTTAAGTTTACTGATCAATGATTGGTAATCACGAATTTTTTTCTGCCATCACTTTATTATATAAGAACGCACTCAAGAAATCTGTCCCCCCAAAAAAAAATCCTCATGAAACACTAATTTTAAATCAGCTTAATGCGAACAGATCCAAGTGATGATCGACTAAACTTGGCAAAAATCTCATGCTATGATTTCTAAAGAAATACTCGATATAAAAACTCCCTTCTAATTATCATGTGAAAGTTGCAGATGGTTAATGTTTCATTTTTCTTCTGTCAAAGGATCTGCACCTTTATATGTAGATAACTTCTCTAACTCCATTCGACCATCAAGGCTTCACGAAATTTTTGAAATTCCAAATCGTTATGGGATGTTAATAGATTCATATTTGAATGTCATCACGTATAGAGTCGAAAAAAATATTCAGTATTATTTCGGGGTTTGCTTAAATGACAAATTCGAAAAAAAGCTTGTGGCTGCTATTTTGGCTTGTAAAACTTCAAAATCAACTTCGGACGTAGTATCAATTTTATTGTCACGTGATGCTCTGAAACAAATGTTGTTCCTTTGTTCATATTTGAGTTAAAGTTTAGGTAAAGGTTAGGAAGGGGGAATAGTCTAGCAAAATTGCCAAGAAAATGTTTTTGCTAGAAACTCTAAAAATGGTCTACAAAGCGAACGTTTGTTTTGAAATTTTTTTACGTTACACACCTGATCTTGATTTTTAATTGGCTGATAGACATCGGAAAATTAAAATCACCATTTGGCCCATACATTTGTGTTTTGTGAATTATTAAAGATTTTCAATCGAAGGTTTTTCAGTGGTTAAGACACTTTTAATAAACAAGCATGCAGGGTAAATTAATGATACCCAAGCTTATCGGCGATAATCCGTACTGCAGTACTGCCATTTGATCGGTGCTTACACGACCGATCAGGATTACCCATTGATCATTGCTGACTATAACCAATAAACGAAGGTTTTATAACCACCCCAGCATCATCACTCTAAAAAATTTCAAGATCAGGTGTAATTTAAAGGAAACACGAAAGATCAAACCAAATCAAAAAACTGTTTATATCTCAATATTTTACCTATGAAACTGCCTTTTCGCACTAATTAAAAGAGTTCCTTACGAAATTTTGGTATTAGAAAAGCTCTTTCTAGCCTAACTTAATAGCAAAACCTAATCCTACCTTAAGCAATGAAATTTTTTTAGCGAAATTTTTAGGGTGGTAACGCTAGGATCTTAGATTTTACCATGGTTTGGCCCCTAGATACAAATTACAAAATTTTATTTCTCTTTAATGTCATTTATGGTAGTCGAAACAAAATATCAATATAATATAAAAAACACCAACATGTTGTGTATCTCTATTTTGACTTCAATTCATTTTCTCTTCTCGGACAACTACAATATATCTAAGTTGTTAATCTAAACATATAAAAAAACACAAATGCAAAAAAAATGACAACTATTGCTATTTTCTCCTGATCAAGTATATAGCGAGTTTTATTACCTTCAATTATTGGCTTCGACCCTATGTGATAACATTGTTCACAGCGTTCACATGTTGCGTTTGGAACTAATTTACCATTCACTACTGGCTTATTTCGGGGGGTTTTTTTTTCTTTCTTTCTTTCAAGCCCATCCCGTAATGTAATATCATTCTTTTTTAAGTAAAAGGATTTTTCACTAATGGTACTCTGGTCTTCCTAGGGATGGATCAGTCCTGGAAAGACCGAATAAGGACCAGTTTTTTTAACCGGTCTTACGGTTATTCGGTCCTCGGTCCTAAAACCAGTTCGGATCTGATCTTTATGAATAATTAAAAATTCATTAGAAATATGTGTTGTTACGTAATCGCTTATTTTTGATTGCCGGTGTCAAGTGGTTAAGAGGTTTAAATTAGTAAGGCCGTTTTTGGGACCGAGACTGGACTGAAAAACATTAATGGGCCGGCCTTATTAGAGACTGGACTGGACCATCACTAAGTCTTCTTATGATTTATATGGCGATCAGATTCTTTCCACTAAATAATATAGATCAACCTGTAGTAATTCGTAATTGTTCAATCTCTATGTATGATTTTTTGCGCTTTAACCACATTAGTAGGAATTCTTCAATTATATAATTCAATAACGATAATGAAGGGTAAAGATGCCGCTTCTGGACTTACAATTCTTAGTTGATATTTCTTCTTGTTTATATTATGAAGGACAACTGCCGGATACCTGTTCGCATTCGATGGATAAGCTTTCTTTCTATATTATTAATCATTTCACCATTCCATTGGGAATCGTTGTAGGGTAGATTGGATATTTTGACCTTATTGTTTATATCCTTTTGTATTTCAAATATATTTGCACGTAGGATATATATGTTTTTTCTTATATTGTGATGAGGGTTACTTATCATCTGCGCTATTGTTCTTAAGCAGCTTCTCTTTGAGTAATATTATTCACAGTGCTTATGATTTTTGATTCCCACGTTCGCGTTGGGTAGCTATGAGATCGAAGACGAAGAAACTACTATTATATACGCGTCTCTAGATGGCAAGAGTAATTATAAAAAGACACTTGAACATTTTAATCTTTTATTAAAAGCAAATCTTCCTGAATTATTAAGGGAACGTGGATTAATTTATCAAAGATGAACAGATATGAAGAGTCACTTACTGATTTAGATCAATAAATCAAACTGCATGATGCCAAGATATTGTATTATCGTGGATTAACATATTGATATATGAAGAATCACTCTGATTTAAAGAATTCATTAGAAATTGACCAAGATAATGCTGTAATTTTAATTATATGGGTAAATATGAAGAATCACTCGCAGAACTAAGCAAATCAAACCGATAATGTCGCAATATTACGCAATCGTATATTGACATATGATAAGATGGATAAATATGAAGAATCACTTGTAAATTTAAATAAAATATTAGAAATTAGACAAGATGAGGAAATACTTTTATGATATTAGATTAAAATATAAAAGGATGGGCAAATATGAAAGAATCACTTAATTTTTTCGATAAATATTTTGTGTTTACTTCTACTGATGCTGCATATCAATATATGGACAGATATACAGAATCGCGGGTCTGATTGGACACCGATATATCGTCTCTAATTGGATGAAATGTATCGTGCCATGTCACCAAAAAATTATTATACAGAAGCATAACTTTATCTAACTCTATATCAAAAAATTTCTTTAAAAATATTTAAAGAAAGCAAAACCTTAGAATTTAAATTATTTTTATTTACCTTTTTGATAGTAAATTTTATAATTTAGCCCATTTTATTTACGAGTTCTTTTTGATATTAAATTTAGAATTTAAACCTATTTTATTTACGAGTTCTTTCTGATAGTAAAAGGTACAACAATCGAGCATACAATTTAAACTTAAATAAATAAATAATAAACAATAAATATTCCAATTCAAATATTAGAAAGATTTTATTCTATATGTTATTTTTAAGAGAATGAAGCTTTATTGGAGGTCAGCGTTTACTTTCTAATAACTTATTATTAATTCGTTATTAAACTTTACGCCTGTAGAAATCTTGTGTGAATTTTTTTTGGAGAATTTGCATATAAGGCCCGAAAATGAAAATAATTATAAATGGGGCCCAAAGTGAAAATAATTATATATAAGGGCACAAATTTCCAAATTTTGAAAAATATTACAA